CTTGTTCGATGAGTTACTGCTCAAAAGAATAATAATGGTGTATTAGTAGTTCTTTTTAACCGAAAACTAGCGAAATTTAGCTGTCACTTATTAAATGGTATAAGTTTAATGATAGTGAAGGATTTTAGTTATTTCAAATCTTTAAATATTCCCATTATGATATTTATTTAAACTCTGATTATCGTCCCATTTCACCTTTTAAGATTTGACCTAATTTATTTATTCATTGAATTGTTTACATATACACATATATGCATATACTACCGTTATTCTTATCACTTGCATAAACCTTATTATCAATATTTTGTTATCATTATAATCATCGTCATTAACTACATTCAAAACATTTACCACATTATTATTATTTGATCCACAAAGTCATCGTCATTGGTTAAAAATTTTTTATATATAAGTTTGTGTAAATTAGAGTAAAGCCTGAAGAAGATCTAATTGAAAACAACAGTATTGTTCGCTTATGTCTTGTTCTAATATTTTAGTTATTAACAATACGCTAAGAATTATCAGGAAGCCTGATTTATTATTCCCAGTAAAGTAAAAATTTAATTTCATATATTTTAGTTAATACAAGTGCCAAGTATTTCAGCAGGATTTGCGCAAACCTGTGGAAACCTGGGAAAGAGTTAACTAAGCATTCTAGTACTTGAAATAAGTAGCACTGTCTACATTTACAAAGGAATTTTGTTAATTTCCAATGATTTACAATGACGACATAAACTTTTGATCGGTCTAAGTAGTTGGAAATCACTCAAGTCAGTTAACAATGATCGATAGACAGTTCAATATAATCTGAATACCGGATAGCTATTCCGCTTGTTTCCAGATGAGTTCACTTCATAAGCTATGTATTCGGTTTGACTTGGTTCATAGAGCTGACGTAGTTTACTTCAGCAAACTAAGGTTACATAAAATTAACTTTGTACTTTGCAAATCACACAGTTCAAGGTGAAAATTCATCCCTGTTTCAATCGACAACTGAAAGTGTTTAGATCATGACAATATGAGCTGTCTAACGTTATAAAAGCTATCATGACTGAACATAAAAATGTAGTGTGAAATGCAAATACATTGCATACGCCTTGCTGATGAGTGTCAACTAGCACGAAACCTAGGTCGAAGGCTTCCTGTGACCAATTGCCTCCAACCATCTAATATCATCAAATCAACGTGCACCGTGATGGTGAGCTATCTAGAAAGGTGGCCACATTGCAAAACCTGACTAATGGAATTCAGTCTGCACCAATGAGAGGACTAGACACATCACACTAGTTACTAGTGTCAAATCCAAATATCCACTACAGTCCTACAGGAGGTCAACCACCAGCCTGAATAGCTTAGTAGTAACATCTCTGACTGCAGCACTGGGTGATGAGGGTTCGAATTTCAGAAGGGACATGAGTTCTTCTTCGAGGTTTCAGATACGCCTGTCTTGCTGACTGGTGAGTCCCATATAGCACAAAACCTAGGTCGAAGGCTTCCTGTGGCCGACTGCCTCCAACTATCTAACATTGTATAACCATAAATTATTTACTTTTAAATTGTTATAAAACATTTTTCAACAACTACAGCATCTTTCGTCCGTGTACCTCAGTAACTGAGTGGATAACGCTTTGGTATTTAATACAGTTGGTGCTGGGTTCGAGTCCCAGTGGGGACACAACCGCTCATTTCGCGTCAATGGTTTAAATGTAGAATGTTCACTAACCATGCAACAGGTGCAAATTTCAATCATCTGTCATTAGGTTACCACGCCTCACCTAGTTTACTTTCACACAGCAATCCAGGAAGAGAGGGAAGGTTGGGCGTGAGGCTAGTAACCTCAGCATCTCTGCTATTGAGACTTCAAAGCTCAAGAAGACAAAACCTCTAGCAGTTTTGAGATACAGGCATGAAAGACAATTTAATCGACAAGATATTTCAAATCCAGTACTCTACTAGCTGAGCTTAGTCTAGTATTCATCACTTATTTATCTACTCTGCAGTTACTTGGAAAACATCTATCCGTAGTAAGCTGAACACAGCCTTTATTCCACAAATAAACTCATGGTCGTAATGCAATAAGTAACATAACTGTTAGTTTAAGATCAAGTAGATTCATTTACCTTGAAAAATTACCATAGATATAACTTTCCAAAGAAATAATATCTCTTGTGGAGCATAATAAGCTAAAGTGTTGGTTGTAAAACTAAAAATTTACACAATTTTAGTTTTCTTCGTAATTTCTCGGCAAAAATAGGAACCATTCATTAGTGTGAATAATAAATGACTGTCATAAACTGTCACTAACAAAACTAAGGACTTTTACAATTTATTATAAGGGTTCTTTATGAGAAGGAAATCTAGTTAGTTTTTTTTAAAAATAAATCGTAAACATTCAATTATTTCTCGATAACTTGATAAACTTATATTGGTTCGACATTTGTACTGTGTTCAGCATTATTTGTCCTCTTTGGGACTGGTCATCTTAATGTACCCACATACCCTAGTGAGTGATGGTATTCTCACTGAGATGTGAACCCAGTACCCATATTTTCAAACTCCAAAAAGTTAATCATTAGACTACCTGAGTCAAGAGAGCTACTTCTTGCTCAACGAAAACTAGTTATTAACTGCCTTAAGTCAATTTTTATTTTCCCATCGACTCACTGAACCGAAATGTTCGGTGTCCCCTGACATATCAGCTTGTATTACGGATGCTTCGACGATGTTTGATAGTCGTCGTCCACTTGAATACTTAATGTAAATTCTCAGACATCGTTGAGGCCTCTGTATTAGGAGGTGACTTGTCAACGGAGATCGAACATTTTGATCCAACCAGTCGATGGGAAAGTCAAAATTGATTTAAAAGTGAATAAATATCACTGAAGATGGGATGAAAATCAAAATCACTGAAGGACTAAATTCAGTCGTTTTCGATGTACCAGTTCAGCATTCCACCAGCTGAGCTAAGAGACTCAACTGTTAATCAAATCGTCATTTCACTTGATATCACCAGGAATAATACACATCTGTTATGTGAACCAGTGACACCCTACTATCATGAGCCTTCCATCACTATTCTCTGTACTTTTAAATGCTTGCCAACTCAGATGGTGTTGCTATCAGTTTGTAAATATGTTTAGACTAAACTTCAATGATGCATTTCTTCAGCTGCTTATTGAAAAAAATCTTCATCTACGATTATAGAGCTTTGCCACTTTCGCCTTGTCAGCTCACATTTGAAAAAGATACATTCGTAAAAGCCATTTCTAGAAATAATGAAACAGAATTACCTAACCTGTAGTAAAATGCACATTTTACAGTTTTATGGAAATAAAGTCTTTTGTTAACGCGGTCGCATGAGATTTCTTACACTTTTAGATCTCCCATGTATGCAGCAGGTAACTTTAACTGGAACATTCATTATATGCAAAACTGTTCTAATTTTCAGGATGAAAATCATTTAAAATTAGGATGGTTTAACTGAAGAGTTACTCTTTCCAAAGATATCATTCTCAGTGCTGTACAATTCCCTCCTTATGACACCAAATCTTGGCTTTAGTTGAATTCTGCTTAGTCATGTCAATTAGAATTACTTCACTCAACTTACTCGACTAGTTTTTTAAAATTATATTCTCTACCTGACTAACGCTTTCTGTATTACGTGAATTTCATGTAGAAGCTTACAATTTTAATGACAATTTAATCGATGGATGGTGACTAGCAGTGGAAACCAGAATAACGCGCATTTCGTCCTATTTGGGACTCGTCAACTGGATATACCTGCATTTCTCAGTGAGTGATGATGTTCCCACCGAGGCTTGAACCCAGTGCCTATAGTTTCAAACGCCAAATCGTTATCCACTAAACCACTTGAGCCACGACACCCACCCCTTGTACAATGGGTCGTATTAATTTTAATTGAATTTTAGATTTTCCGTCGATTGATTGGACCGATTAAATTCTAATTAAATCCCCGGACATCGTCGAAGCATCTGCACAAGAAGTCGACATGTCAACCTGAGACCAAGCACCTTGGTCTAAACAGTCGACAGGAAAATCTAAAATTAAATTAAAATTTTAATGACATATCTTTAGAAACGTTCGTCTTGTTGCCATGATAGTTTACTGTATATATTGGTTACAGGATTTCATCATGAGCTGACACTGGTTAGAGAACGATTGGAAAACCTGGGAGTACTGGACAGCTGTTTCACCCTAGTTTGGAACTTTTCATCAGTACGCACCCACCACTACGGTTCGAACCTGGGATCTTCTGGTTACAAGGCGAGCTCTTAGACCATTAAAGCACTGGAACTCGATCCAATGGCCAGGTCATGAATTCTAAACTCTACTAATTCACGACATAGCGCGACCACTAGCCAATATCTTCAGCTGTCCAGTAGTCCCAAATTTTCCAATGGTTCTGTAACCGATATCAGCTCATGATGAAATCCTGTAACCAGTCAATCAAATCCCCACAAACCAATACTTGAATTACTGTATATGTGTTGTTGCACAACTTCAGAAGCATGTTGGAGGAAAGGGTAAGTCTTCTTCGTTGAACGTCTCATCTTTTATATGACTTAGTGGGGATTCATAAGCTCTCTTTCTTTTGTTAATATTCAAACAACAGTCTTTATTTCTTATTATTTTCATTCAATATGCAAAGACTCTACATTAGTAGCATAAACTGCTCGTACAGCAATATTTATTCATCATTAGATTTCCAGTACATCAACAACGTACAAGACCGCACACAGAAAACAACTACGTAGCAGTCTAAATATATTAAGGATTGATATGTATTAAATTTCATAAGTTAGTTAATTTTTCCTGAAGTTTAAATAGGAGATAGACAGAAACATCTGTTTGAACTTATGTACAACTGCATATAAAGACGACGATTAGTAAACTTGTCTAACTGCATGCATATATATGCCATTATTTGTAACTTATTATTGTATATTTTCAAACGGTTTTTATCTTCCCCTCTATTTCAGAAAACTCATTATCCTGATGTTTATGCACGTGAACAACTAGCTCTAAGAACAGGACTGACAGAAGCGCGAGTACAAGTATGGTTTCAAAATAGGCGTGCTAAATGGCGTAAACGTGAACGATTAGGTGGAAGTGGTAGTTTAACAAATGGATCATCTGATATCGGCTTACAGTTATCCTTTTCAGAACAAAATGATTTATCAACAATGAATAATTCTTCTTCATCGACAGCTGTATTCGCGGCAGCTGCCGCAGCCTGTGCTATGGCTGCAGCTGTGACAGCTGGAACTAATCTACAAGGCAGTAATTTATGTTCAACAAATAATCATTTACATAAACATATGAATACTCAAAACAATAACAATGCAAGTAATAATTATTTATTCTCGCCGTCGAATTCTTCATCTTTTATTCCTAATCCTTGTGTAACAGATACACGTAGATTGGGTGGGCTATTTGAACAAAGTATTTCTTTGAATACAAACAATCATGAAAATAATTTACTTCATCATTCTAGACATTTTTGTGAATCAAATCCTTATTTTTCATTGACACTGAACAAACTTACAAGATCAGGCATGAATAGTACTGATGTTAATACTGGAAAATTATCTCAGGAATCGCAGTTATTAACATCTATGGAAAAATCAGATGAGAAAAATCTATTCAGAGATGAATTCGACACTTTTCGTCCATCATCAACGTCAACATCTGAACTATCATCGTCATTTATGAGTAAATCATCTTACATTCAGCATGATGGAGAACTACCTCAACAACAACGTCATCATTATTCACAAAATTCAACTGAACACAATACAGGTTCAATGTACAACAGATGTCAGTCTACTGGAGAAGACATTCGACATCATACTGTGAAACATTCAATTTTCCCTAGTGATATTTCACTGGATCGCTTCAAAAAGTACCCTTCAATGTCATCAACTGGCGTTGAATGGTCATTAAATGCTCAAAGTAACAATAACAATAATAATGATAATAGGGTTAACTGTAATACTTATCAAATTTCTGAGCATTTAGAACAAAATACGGAATCATCGGTTAGTCGAAATAATTCAACTCAACAGACAACAGCAACAACAACAGCAGCAACTAATGGTCGAAACAATCACCTCTTCTGGAATACACCGTCTTTAACAAATCCATCAGAAATAACTAATTCATTGTACATGAATAATAATGTCACCAGTGGTAATAATGATGTCACAGTAACTTCAAATGACGTAAACCCAGTCAATTCCACAGTTAACAATGCTAGTCATGCTGACGGCAATACTAATAACCATAGAAGTGATGATTTAAAACCATGTTTAGGATGGAATTTTCCAACAGAATTCAAAGAATCGAACTGGTTAGCCAGTAAACAAACAACAAATTTTTATGATATTCAAAATTCAGCGTCAAAATCAAATAATCTATTCAATGAAAATAAGCTGTACATCTAGTGTAGGGTGTAGTGTCAGCTCACTCTAATCTAATGGAAGCACAACACTTGAATTCAAATGAATTTAATTTAATTCAGCTCTTCTCTTCAAATATTTCTTCAAAGCATTAAGTGATGTTCATTCAGAAAATAAAAAACAAAATTATCTTTACTAACCATTGACTTTTGATGCTTTTATTCATGTAATTTTTTTGACACTGTACTAACATCAAGAGAATTATCCACGAGGTTATTTTTATCCACTTAATTTCACTTCATTCTGCTAGTGTCAATGATGTTTCAAAGCACTAAATTCTATGAGTTGATTATGGATTGATATCAGTTAGAGAATCATTGAAAACCAGCCACAGGGCGTACTGGACAGCTGTTTCATCCTAGTTCTGGGAATCATCATCAGTACGCACCCACTGCCAGGATTCGAACCCAGGGCCTTCCGGTTACAAGGCAAGCCGCCATGTATACCATTCAGCCATTGAAACCCGATCCAATGGTCAGTACATGAATTCTAACTTCTACCAATTCGTGATATATTTAGTGAGACCACTAACCAATGTCACTGGTGGGACGTCCATCCTCACACTTGACTAGATGGATCTCACTAGTCCCGACTTCTCACTAGAACTCGAGGAAACTTCGTCCAGTAGCAAGTCACTAGCGAGCATCAGATTAATTTTCTATAGTTGGTTTGTAAGGATTAGTTTTTGTCTTACGAATTAGAATTCATAGGTTGTCCATTGAATCGGGTCCCAGTGGCTGAATGGTATACAAGCTTACCTTGTAACCGGAAGGTCCTGAGTTTGAACCCTGGCAGTGGGTGCGTACTACCGATGATTTCCAAACTAGGCTGACGAAACAGCTGTCCAGTACCCTTTGCTGGTTTTCAATGGTTCTCTAATTGATATCAATCTGTGATCATTTCGTAAAAACAAAACTAATCCTTACAAACCAACTATAGAAAACTAAATTCTGTATTGAAGAAATTAGTATCGATAACAATGTAGAATGGCGTTTCAATTCACTGTCATTTAGTCTCAAAATATACGTCACTGGTAATCTATAAACAACTGAAACGTTTACTTAGTTCGAGTTAATATTATCAGTATTATTATGTGGTTTCATTTGATGATATTAGATGGTTGGAGGCAATTGGCCACAGGAAGCCTTCGACCTAGGTTTCGTGCTAGTTGGCACTCACCAGTCAGCAAGACAGGCGTATCTGAAACCTTGAAGGAACTCATGTCCCTTCTGAAATTCAAACCTGCGTCACCCAGTGCTGCCTCCAACCATCTAATATCATCAAATCAATGCACACCATGATGGCGAGCTACCTAGAATGGTGGCCACATTGCAGTCTGACTGACAGAATTCAGTCTGCACCAAAGAGAAAAAAGGACTAGACACAACACACTAGTTACTACTGTCAAATCGAAATGTGGTTTCATTACCATTCGTAGGAAGATTATTTTATATAAATTTCGAACAGAATATCATAGAAACAAACTAGTATCAGTATAGTTTTTGTCATATTTATTTGATAGTGGCTGACGTTGTAATCTAGGAAGCGAGTTTAGTCTAAAATAGGTTAAATCCACAGTTAGTTACCGTTAACTATAAAGCATTAGGTTTACCTCAAGGAATTATTGAAGCATCCATACTAGGAGTTGACGTATCATGAAATATTCATGAGGAAAGAAGAGGATATTCTTCTTTGTTTGTGAGAGCATCATCTATAACAAATAAAATCAAAAATAAAGTCTACTGCTATTTGGAATCTCTCAAACTACTTTGATCGACTTAACTTTAACAAACTTACTAGTATTAGCTTACTGTAGAGTTGACTCTCGTGTCTTGAAAATAAGACTTCTGCCTTTATATCATTATTTTTATTCGAGATTTTCCGTCATTGTTGATGAAAAGTACACATTCGTTACAACATCTTTAGGCGGTGGTAGCGTGACGGTAGAATGCTCACCAACCACGCATGTGATTCGGCGTTAGATCCCGGCCGATGCTCTCCTTTACCTCGGAAAGCCTGTAGTAGGACTGGTAAAGAGGGAAGGCTGGGCATGAGACTGGCAATTTCATCCAGTAAAAAAATAAAAACACTGCCAGCGAAACTTCACACCTTTAGCTTGAAGCCCTATGTTCCACTGGGAGCTTAAAGGAATAAAAAAACAAAATCTTTATGTCATGCGGTAGACCTGTGCCATACGTTACCTGTGGAAGATAATTCTTTTTCTTTTGGATTCTGAATGGAACATATGGACTCACTATTACACTGCCATTTCATTCTGTTTTCTTCAGTCTTCTCATAGTTGACTCCATGATTTCTCATAAGCTTGAATTTCCTCTTCACAGTATCGCCTGTACATTACCCTCGGAGTGGAGCCCAACTCGTCGTTTTCCATTTTGGTTCCACATGACAACCTGCTTGACTCATTATTTCACTCAATGGTCTCCTCAGAGTGTGTATGATCAACTTCTCAATCCTTCTCAATAATTGTTGAGCAGTACGCTATCGGTTGATTCATTGTCAGAGTACCTTGTTGCTAACTCTTTCCAACCGGTAATCTGGTTTTCAGTAGCAGCTGATTGTCTGTAGTCTGTTGGAAATGATTTTCTTGATGTGCAGTTCAAGACTCTAGAGCATACAGAAGAAGTGATTTGACACCAGTATTGAAAATCCGGATCTAGTTTCTTATGCTCAATGCAGCAAACTTCCACACTGATTTTAGTGTAAAAAAGATCTATCCTGATTTTCTTATCCTGCCTTTAATACTATCGTTTGTGACATCTGTGGCTGAAACGATCCTGTTGAGGAAAGTGAAAGAGGCGATTTCCTTCAAATTCCTCCTGTTAATACTGATTGGTGTTCATTATTGCTGATTGTTGGATGCCATCATCCCTATATCCACTGCCTTTTCTGGAAAGTTGTCGGTTTTTACCCGTTTATTTTCGAGTTTGTGTCCCATAAGACATACATTCTCGGCGAAATCAAGATCTTCTAGAGCCTACTCATCGATACGACGTATTCTTGCCTTCTCGCTCCCCACAGTCTGATGCATAATCCACTCCACCATAATTAAGAACGTCATTGATGATAGCAAGCAGGCAGCCTTGTCTTATTCCTATCTTTACTTCAGAAGCTTCGCTGAGTTTTCCATTGTCTATCACTTGACATACGTCACTGTCCCATAGCTGTCAGATGGACTTGATAAAGACTTGTGGCAATACATAGTGCTGAAGTAGTTTCCAAATTACTTCGCGGTCAGCACTGTTGAAAACCTTTCCAAAATGGAGCAAGTCAGGGAAGAGTTTTGACTGCCATTCTTTGCTCTAATAGTTGACGGTGCGTAGAGTTGATATTTGATCAGCACATGATTTGCCTTTCCTGAATTCATTTGTTCTGAAAGGTATTCTGTGACTAGGCACCCTTGAATCTCTTCAAGCATAGTTCCGTGCCAGTTCTTGCAGAGGCCTAAGTCGAGCTTATTTGGTAGTTTGACAGGGTAGCTTTTCTTCCAATCAGTAAGTAAGTTTATTTCTTTTCAAACATTTTGTGACGATAGCATTAGCATATCCTTTGCGGTCTCTGTATCTGTTCTTAGTGCTTCAGGGAGAATTTACCCTGGTACTGCTGCCTTTTCTGCTGGCAATCAGTAGCTTGATTGCATTCAAGATTGCAACTTTTGTTGGAGAATTGGTGTTCACTGGTATTTCCGTGGCTGTTAGTGGAGTTTCTGGGTGTGTTGCAGGTGATGGTTCAAGATGATTCAAGAGTCCTTCGACGTTATCAGCTCATTGTTTTCTTCGTCTCTTTCCTGATCATTTTTCATAGGTTTCATATGCCTTGATTTCTTGACGGATCGGAAGCTTGTTATGTGATATAATATTCTCAGGTATCTTTTACCTGCTTCCTGTTGTGCTTCGGCTGCCAGTGTGTTGTAGAATTGTCTTTTGTCTTTCGTAGCACTCTTATTCACTTCTTTATTCAGTTCATTGTAGGTGAAACTCAGCTTTTCCCTCCCTTTTCCATCCCTACGCCAGTTCATTTTCTGTTTCTCCAATACTCTTTCTCCATTAGCTCTCAGCTTTCTGTTGAGAACCATTTCTTGTCTTACCCCCTTTAGCTACCTAAAAAACCACATAGATTTCCTAGAATATCACCTTCCGAGGGCTAATTTCATTGTCTATTTACACAGGTTTCCTTAGTGGTACTAGATAGTTACTCTGACTTCCCTCTGATGTCTACAGTAAATATGCCCTCTGTGGTTTCATCCTTCAGTTTCCGAGTGCTGAACTTGAATTGTAGTCTATCTCTGGTAGCTCTGAAGGCATTCAGTTTGACCTTGAAGGTTTCTAGCGCTAAATAATGGTCTCAACCCACATCCGCTACTCTTTTCAATTTTTTGTTCAGCAAGCTGCGTCTGCTCTCCCCGAGACTGAGATGAAATCTGCCTGATTTTCGGAGTATCTGTTAGGTGAAACCCATGTCGCCTTGTCTATATTATTGTGTTTATACACTCTGCATCCGATTGTCAAATAACTGAAGGTTTAGAAGTCTGTAAGCATTTCGCCGTTTTCATTCTGATCACCTGAGGCTCCCGAGATGTGGTAACCTCTCTTCCTGTATTGTTTGCTTCCAGTTTGTCATTCGTATCACCCATTAGGATTTTGATGTCTCTATTTTTAGTCTTTTCCACCTCTACTAGAAGTTGTCGGTAAAATTCTTCCTTCTTCTCTTGATCTGCGTTGTAGAGGCTTAGCATTGGATTATTGTAGCTTTCCAATCTTTTGAATTGAATCTTGCTGTCATCATCATGCAGGAGATTGGTTTCCCTGGTATAAGAACTTCCAATGCTGTTGGTAAAATCATGACAGGCAATCCTTTAGTGCGCTCGTGGTTGTCATCTGAGTGATTTGAGTTGATTATCAATCCTCCAGTTAACAACTTGGAGAATACACTTCTATTCTATCTGCTATCTCATAACACTTATATAC